GTGTGTGTGTGTGTGTGTGTGTGTGTGTGTGTGTGTGCGTGCGTGCGTGCATGCGTGCGTGCGTGTGTGTGTGTATGTGTGAGTGTGTGCCTTTGGGCTGTTTTGTAAAAGTGCATTTGTATGCCACATAAGGTGAACGAGTGAAACACAAAGAGGAAAAGTGGGATAAAGAGAAAAGAGACAAGGGCTATTATTTCTCTCTGACCTTGGCTAAGGTTTCACTGAGCCTGCGGTGTCCCATGACCCTGTTTGGATTTAGTACAAAAGCAGTGGCCTGTTAAAACCAGTTACACTCCTCATCTCTGCACAAACACCTCAAGTTATTCTGAAAATTCACTCTTTTTTTTTCTGTCTTCTGTTTCTTTTTTAACCAAACTACGAGCCTAATTCCAAATAGGACAGTCATCATGTTTACTGAAGTTCAAAAAGCAGTTTTTCTCATAAATGAAGTTATTAGTCCCTTTGGGTCATTTTTAAATGAATAACAACAAAAAAATAAAAATCTAAAACACATTTTTATTTAAGGTTGCAGTTGTTTACTACACAAGTATTTCTGAATCCAAACTGAAACCTGTTCTGACAATACGGTTTGTAGCAGCAGCTAAGGGGTTTAGTCCGGCCAATTTTTACAACATACAATAGTATCTCCTACCTGCATGAGACAGTGGGACTTTATTTTGCAAACAATAGGAAAAAAAACTTTCTTAGGCATATAAACATAGCAATTTAGCTTCACTCGCCGTGAAAAAAACAGCCTTCTTAAACAGGCTTAATGCAAGCAAAGAGAATCAATTTGACACCAATTATTCTGGTATGAACGCCCTGTTTTGGGGCCACTAGCAGAGACACCCCTGAATGCCAGGTCAGTTTCTAATCAAGACCCATTAGGATCAGTGGGAGACAAAACAAACGGTCTAAACGTGGCCCTGCATGGGTTTGAGCTCATTTCTCACCATGCCAGCCATAAAAAACTCAAGCTCAGAGATCACAGCCTCGGCGCCGGGATACAATCTGTTTTCATATCTGCTCTCCTCAGCTTCGTGGATGTTACGCCTGGAGGTGTTTGTGCGTCCAAGTGCAATGAAAAGGATTACGTCGAAAAAAGAGTGGAACAGAAAGGAAGGCAGCCGAACACACATCCTTACATTTATTGACCCGTTTGTTCTCTAAGACTTGCAATTCAAACAGGTCCTGTCCGTTTCTGTTAGGATTCTTACAAGTGTTATTTACTTTATCTGAGACACACAGGGGATTCAAATGTACGGCAGCTTTATTAACTCAGTGTGTGTGCAGGGTACGTTAGGTGTTAGCTGCGAAATTCCTCATAAAGCCCTTATAATGTACACTAAAACTATTATTATATAGCAAGTATGTGAGAATAAACTGTAAAGCAGAATATTTTATCCGCAGTCAGATTGATCTGAGATGTGCTGACAGTGGAGGTGTTTCTTAATGTGCTAACCAACAGTAGTTGTTAAAATGTTTGGCAGTCTTCTTTTGTATCTGTATTTTTTTTAAATTATTATCATTTTTTTAAATATTGTATTAAAGTAAGCTGTAGGCATTTTGATGCATCCTTAAGCTGCTAATTTTCACATTTGGTTCATTACTTTGCATTAAAAGATTGTTAACATACTCACGTCTCCAGCCTTTTTTTTTTTTGTTTTATGTTTACTCTTATACCAAAGTGCAATATGATTGAGGCTTGACTGGAGTAAGGATGAAGCTCTTGAAATGACACCGATATAAAAAAGTTTCATCAATAGCTTTAGAATTTAGTCTCTGTATAAATTTAGTGGTTGGATACAAAAACTAATTACCACTTGAAATGGCGAATTTAGTAGTGAATTGCTAAATTGGCTCAGGTCGACAGCACTCCCCAAAAAAGGCTTTTTGTGTGGGAGTTGAAGCTTAATTCACCAAGCACCTCTAATTACCCTCTACACAGCTACGCATTTCTTCACTGAAGGAACGCACTGGTGGCTGCATATGGCCTGGCCCATTTACTGCAAATCGGGTTAAAAGAGCACTTGCCAGACATTAAAATAAACAAATGTATCAAGCTTGCTCTGAGTTATTGACAATTCAAAGAATTTCTGAACTGTAGATGCTTCTCTGTTGGTGATTCCAAGGTAAGGAGCTGAAAATCAGTGTTTGGCTACAAGACAACGCTACAATTTTCATTTTTATTTTTTTGTAACGTCTGAAACTTAAGTCAGTGTTTTATCTTGTCTTCTGTTTAAACAAACAGATGCACATCTTTTTTTTTATTAAAGACACATTCAGATTTAATTTTTCAAATATTCACTTAAGACTGCCAAAAATAATATTAATAAAAATGTTTTTTCAATGTCTGACTGCAGGCTTTTTCCAGTATTATTTTTTGGGTTATTGAGCTGATGTCATGACCTGCTTTCACAGTCATTGAGAGAGAGAGAGAGAGAGAGAGAGAGAGAGAGAGAGAGAGAGAGAGAGAGAGAGAGAGAGAGAGAGAGAGAGAGA